GATCTTGTTTTTGTTTTTTGTTTTGGTAGTACTTGGATTTGAACTCAGGGCTGCACACTTGTTAAGCAATTGGTCTACTACTTAAATCACTACTTAAATCTAGCCCTCTTTGCTTTAGGTTATTTTTCTTATAGGGTGGCACATATATTTCTGGGCTGGCCATGGGCTGTTATCCTTCTATCTGTGTCTCTTCCACAGCTAGGATTATAGGTATGTATCACCACGCAGAGCTTATTTGTTGAGTTTGATTAACTTTTGCCCAGGTTAGACTTGAACTTCAGTCTTCCCAGTCTCTACTTTCCAAATAGCTAGGATTAAAAGCATGAGCCATCATTCCCAGTTGTGTAGTTTTTTTTTTTAACTCATTTTTGAAAGTGGGATATTGAAGTTTTCAACTAATATTTTTTAGTTTTCTCTTCAGTTTTATCAGTTTATGCCTTACAAAATTTGGCTCTCTTGTTACTTACGTATTAACTCTATAATTGTTAAGTCTAAATGATAAAGTGGTTCTTTTATCTTAGAAAATGTCTCTCTTAGCCAGGCACCACTGGTCCAGACATGAGTGGTGCCTGGCTAAGAGAGACATTTTCTAAGATAATCCTAGCTATTCAAAAGGCTGCTATCTGAGAATTGAGGTTCAAAGCCAGTATATGCAGGAAAGTTCGTGAGATTCTCCTTCCAGTTAACTAGGAAAAACATGGTGGCGCTGTGGCCCAGTGGTAGTGCCAGCCTGGAGTAAAAACAATGCAAGTAAGAGCTCCTGAGTTCAAGCCCCAGTACTGGCATGCGTGTGGTGGGTGTGCGCACACACGTGCGGGCGCACACACACACACACACACACACAAATGAAAGGAAGAAAAAGAGGATGCCTTTCTTTGGCTCTAGTAACAATAGTTGTCTAAAGATCTGCTTTGTCTGATGTTGATACTGTTGCTCTAGTTCCTTGTTGATCACTGTGTGTACTTTATAGTATATCCTTACATCTTTTACTTCCAATCTGTTTAGTTCTATGAACCTTAGTCTGTTTTGGCACTTTCTCATTTAATCAGAGTGTGCAAACCATTTAAATTTAATGTAATTACTGGCAAAGTAAGATTTGTATTTCCCATTTTTCTGTAGGTCTTACATCCTCTATGTTCCTATATTCCTTTATATTCCTGTATTTCTATATTCCTCTTTCTTTCATATTAAATAGGTATTTTCTAAAGTATTATTTAAATTCCCATCTGATTCTTTTATTATTTATTTTTTGAGTTGTATCTTTAGTGGGTACCTTATGGATTATAGTTAATATTTTAATTTTTAATTTTTTTATTTTTATTTTTTATTTTTTTTGTGAACACACTGTACAGAGGGATTACAATTACATGGGCAGGATAATGCGTACATTTCTTATCAAGCATTGAAGCCTCCTCCTTTGTTTACCCTTCACATCCCTTCCCAGCCTCCCCCCCCTAATATTTTAATTTCTAACAGTTTAGTTCAGATTAGTAACAACTTTAAAAATGCTCCTCAACTTAGGTTAAGACAATATCCCAGTAAACCTATTGTAAATTGTAAATTGAAAATATCATAAAATACATTTAATAAACGTAACCTATTGACCATGGTAGCTTAGCCAACAGTACACTCTGGATTATTGTTTTGTTTGCCCTTGTGATCAAGGGGCTGATTGGGAGCAGCAGTTCACAGCTGCTGCCCAGCTTAGAAAGAGCTGATCTTGCTACCTATCTCTAGTCTGAGAGGAGATGAAGGCTCAGAGTAGTTGCCACAAAGTGTGACCCCTAAAGAGTGATCCTCTAAATATGTATCATTTTTGTACCATCATGAAATTTAAAAAATGTACATTGAACCATTATGTCAGAAACCATCTTTATAAAAAAACCACCGTGCTCTTATATAGTTCTATTACTTCTCATTTTTTTCTCTTATTCTTATATAAATTACATTTTGTAAATGGTGTATACAATATAGGTATATAATTAATGATTTATGCAGTTGTCTTTTAAATCAGGAGAAAACATTTTAACTCCCATTTATCTTTCTTATAATTTGTATGGAGTTACCTGTACTAATTCAGATTCTGTTTCTTCATATTGATTTGATTACTGTCTTATAAGTTAATCTGATATTTCTTCTGACTGAAGGAGTACAGTTTATATCTCTTCTATGATACATTAGCTAGTGAAAATTTCTTTCAGTTTTTATTTCTCCCTTATTCATTACAGTTTTGCTGGACATAGAATTGTTTAATTTTTTTTTCAGCTATTCAAGTATATCAGTCTATTGCCTCTGATCTTTCTCATTATGTATGTATTGCCATGCTTGATAGTAATCCAATAGGTCTTTTATTCACTTTTCTTTTTTTTTTTTTTTAAATCAGAGTAGGTTTTCAAATGGCTCATCTTCATATCCCTTTATTCTTTTTTCTGCCTTCTCAATATGCTGGTGATCCTCTGAAGTGAAATTTTATTTTTGTTACTATATTTTTCAACTAAAATTTTTCTATTTGATTACATATGATTTTTATCTTTTATTGATAGCTTTGTTAGGAACATTAGCCTCTTACACTTTAGTTCTTTTTTATATTTTTTTATACTTTAGTTCTTTATGCATGGCTTCCTTTAGTTACTATATATACAATATGTAATATATAATAATACAATATATATAATATTATATGCCATAATATTATATGGCTTAAACCATACCAAAAATATTTAAATAGAAAACTTTGCCAGACTGCAACTATCATTTCTTTTCTTTCATTTTGTTTAAATCCTACTTTTGGACAATTTTCTCTCCCATTATCTATTTTATTTTGATCTCACTTTTTTTCTAGTTATTACTGAGCACTTTGAGACACTAGGGATAGAAACGTGAATAAGATTTGATCCTTGTTCCATAAGCTTATATTCAAGAAATGAAGAGAGAAGAAATTTACAGTATAATCTCAGGGATAAAGCAGGACAGAGGATGACTAATACAGCGAGTAATAGATAGGGTGGTTAGGGATGGCCTTTTTGTATAAGTAGCAATATAGTAAAGACTTTAATGTGCATGAAGTAGCTCAGAGAAAGTCATAGGGAAGGAGAGGTAAAAGTACCAGCAAATATAAGTGTTCCAAAATATATGCAAGTTTGACAAAATCAAAAGCCAACAAAAATGCCAATGATGAGATAACATGAGAATGGACAAGAAGCTAGACCATAGTAAGGAGTTTGGATTTTAGTCTGCATTTATTAGGAAGCCCCTGAATTTTTTTTATTTTTAAATAATTTTTATTGAGATTTAGTGATTTCATAAATTTCACAGTTTTGTGAGATAGTGATACTTAAAGCCACAAATACATCTTAACCTTCACAAGGCACTGTTGAAAAGTTTTAAGTAGAAGAGTTTTATGATATGCTTTCTTACTGACTGAAAACCTAAATCCATTTAGTAATATTGTATATACGAGTATTTAGATTACCACTATGGAGGAGGTGTTCCCCCTCACTCAAAACAAAAACGAAACATATTACAGGGAAGAACTTTTTACCTTTTTAACTATTAAAAACTAAAATTTTTGCTTATGGTTTAAAATTTTTCTTATGGTTCCTGATTACAGTTTTGTTGACTTGAATAATAATGGTCATTTTCAGGCAAATGTGGGGACTAATATGACAGTAATGTTGCTCATTCATTTAATACACATCAGTATTTACAATAATGTAACATGGGATTTGGCAGATCTACTAGTAGTCTTCCTCTTGGTCCTTATGGTGTACAGTGGCATGCAGTAAAATGACTGGTCAGGGATGGTATATGCTCTGGGAGCAGAGGGCAGACAGGTCACTGAGAACAAACCCGTGATCTGGAATCATGAGCAAGACATTCAAACAGAGCCTCAGGTGAATTTCTTTTTTTGTTTTTGTTTTTAATTTTTAAATTTAATTTTATTGTCAAGGTGAAGTGCAGAGGGGTTACAGTTACATATGTAACTGTACCTTTTTTGTCAAGCATAGTTTGTTTCTGAATGCTTTGAAGACCAAATCTGAATTGATAATAAATTCTGTCAGTATGTGTCACACTGATAACACCTTGAGGGATAGGTGTTTTTTTTTTTTAATTGATTTTTTTTTTCTTCTTTTTGTGCTGGTCCTGGGGCTTGAACTTAGAGCCTGTGAACTGTCCCTGAACTTAAAAGTCACTTGAGCCACAGCTCCACTTCTAGCTTTTTGCTGGTTTAATTGAAGATAAGAGTCTTCAGGAACTTTCCTTTCTTAGGCTGGCTTCAAACTGATCCTCAGATCTCAGTCTCCTGGATAGCTAGAACTACAGGTGTGAGCCACTGGCATCCAGCTAAGGCTCAGTTTTTAAGCTATAAAAAGAAAGGTATTTACATTTACATTTAGGGGAGTTCAAAGATTCATAGGTTTGAACTCTAGGCCTGAATGCTGTCCCTCAGCTCTTCAGCTCAAGGCTAGCACTCTACCACTTGAGCCACTGTACCACTTCCAGTTTTCTGAGTGGTTTATTGGAGATGAGAGTCTCATGGATTTTCCTGCCTGGGCTGGCTTTGAACTGCGATACTCAGATCTCAGCCTCCTGAGTAGCTAGAATTAGAGGCATGAGCCACTGGCGCCTGGCTAAAGATTCATATCTTTTCTGAGCTCTGCTATCAGCTGATTCATGGCTGACTAACCACACATTTCTCAGTTTCTTCTAGCTGTTAAATAAAGTTATTGGACTAATCAATAATATCCTGTCCAGCATTGCTTGATGAGATGATGATTCTAAGAGGCTTTTTTTAATGTATATTACTATATAGTTGAATGATATGTAGTATCTAGTTATACTTCATCTGGAACAATACCAAATTAAACTAAAACCGTTTTACCTGACATATACAATATAAAAAGAGAAAATCATATTCTCACAATGAATACACAGAGGAAGAGCCCAGTATAATATTCTAGTAGCTTCATTTGTTATAATACATGTCTTTGTCTCTATAGGGGGATCTTTGGATGTATATAGAAAAATTCCAGAGCATGTCCTTGGAAGAATTGCAGTAGCAGTAAGTATATGACTTTTGTAATAGGAAACTTTCATAATTTAATCTTAACCCTATTTTTTTCTTTGTCGGTCATGGGGCTTGACTTCAGCCTGGACGCTGTGCCTCAGCTCTTCAGCTCAAGGCTAGTGCTCTACCACTTGAGCCACAGCGCCACTTACGGTTTTCTGGTGGTTTATTGGAGACACGAGTCTCATGGACTTTTCTGTCTGGGCTGGCTTTGAATGGCGATCCTCAGATCTCAGCCTACTGAATAGCTAGGATTACAGGCATGAGCCACCTGCGCCCAGCTCTTAACCCTATTCTTATTTCTTCAGGATGTTTATCTTTAAACCAAGCTGGCTGTCATGTCTTTCTTACCTTTCTTCTGCTTTCATCTTTTTCTTTTCTTCTTTTCATAAGCTGAGTCTCAACATAGTCACCTGACATCCCTTAGGTTTAGCATTACCATTCTACTATCCTGAGTTTACTGGGATCTTAGTGCTAAGATTGACCAGTAGGATTTCTAGCTTTCCCCAGAAAGAAAATGGTTGGCAACATTTTTCTTTGTGGTTATTGGCATTATGATTAAGAAATAGTTTAAGAATTTAAATGACTAAAACAGTCTACAAAAGAGATTATTTTAAATGTTTTTGTTGTCATTTTGTGCTCTTGGTTTTAAAATTTTTATCAACTCTCTATAGGAATGTACTCCTTTTGTGACTAAAATCCAATCTCCCGTTTTTTGTGTTTTCTATAAGTAGATAAAATATATTAGCTAAATTACTATATAAGTTTCAGATTTAAAATTTGGAATAACATGGGCTAGTGTCTAAGAGAAGTCATTGGGTGGTTAATAGTAAACAATTTCTAAGCCAAAGGTACTCTGATAACTTATGTAGTTTAATGCAGAACAAAGTGATTATATCATGTACCATTTAATTAAATGGCTTATTTTCACATTCATTATACATCAAACTGACAACTCAAATTCTTTAATCCAACATGGACACTTATTTAGTCTTAGTTCATTGTAATTCACAGCTTTCCTTTTTTCTTTCCAATTACTAGTGTGAACTGCCCAGGGTGATTAGAACTTTCTTTTCTGATGCTGTTGCTGCTGAGTAGCTTCTAATCTACATGTGGAGGCAGATTAGTTTAGTTTGAAATTTGAGTACTTAAATCATTTTAGCTGAAAATAAAAATGTTTCATTTCTTCATCTGATCTCAGAGGAATAAATGCTTTGTGGCTTTTGGCAGTTTTGCTTCTAAAGTTTAATAACCTGTATATAAAGGGTGAAAAAAGGCAAGGGTTACAGTTGAGAAAGAAAAAAATATGCTCAAGTTCTATTCTCAGTTACCTATTGAACTTAGCAAAAATGGAAATCTGCCTTCTTCAATAAAGAAGCATGTTCTTCCTAGACTTCATAAATCTTGCCTCCCTCTCACGCAGGGCATCCTGACAAGGCCACTGGGTTTTCAATTCTATTCGAGTTGGAAGACTGTGAAGTGAGTGGAGTCAGCTGGCAAACCCAACCTGCTTTAAATATAGGGCTTGCCTATTCTGTAGTTGAAAATATGACAAAAATTAGGTCAGTGAAAGGCATTAAAAAGAAGTGCCATTCCAAGTCATTGTTTACGTTTGTATATATACATTGGAGTATATACACAATTTAAATTAAGGATTGTTTTTGTTCTTTTTTTCCCCCAAAATGTATCTGATTTCTCCAGCTTTTGTCTTATCAGATAATAGTAAGAATCTTATGGCTGAAGTAGAATGCTTTTCTTCTATTTTGTAAACTCTGCCTATGTCCTAACCTTGCTCAGTGCCTCCATAGCATATTTTTGTGTATAATCTGAACAAGCTTCAAACTTGGATGTTTTTTGTTTTTGTTTTTGTTTTTGTAGCTGGCAAATACAGCCTGGCACAGGGCTTATGCCTGTTGCTGGGAGGATTATATCGTCATAGTAGGACGAGAGAATTGATGGGTTGTAGGTCATGGTTTCTAAAATACACATTCACACAGCTCAATGGAGTCCCTAATATCCTTGGTTATGTCTCCCATAGTGTCCCCAAAATGGCATTACCATCTTCCTCTTGAGTTTCCTCAGTGAGGTAAAAAAAGCAAGTGAATGTTGCTATAGCTCTTGCCAAGTCTAAAGCTATAGAAATTGGAAGGTGGGAAATAGTTGTATGTCATGTGTCAATCACCGTTGAATGCTTGTATACAAACTCACCAGTTCTGTAAAATGTGGATTATTGAACTATATTCTAGTATGCAAAAATGAAGTTCAGAAAAAAGTTTAAATAGCTTGTTTAATCAGTGTTAATTTAAACAGAAGACTGGCCCTTACTCTTTCACTCTAAGAATCTGAGAAAAAATTTAGGGAGGAATAAAAGGGAGAACTGGGTTAAAAACAAAAAAAGAGAAATACGAACAACAATAATGAAGTAACAATTGCTTTAGATGTTTTTTTTCTCTTTTCTTTGAGATGGGATCTTATGTCACTGTTGAGTGCTGTTCTCAAACCCCTGGCTTAAGTAGTCCACATCAGCCTATGAGTACAGTCTTCAGGCATACACCAACCATGCCCAACTTTCAGATTTGTCTTAGAACCATGTTTAGGTTATCTCTTCTCTCCAAGTTAACTTTATTTTACAGGCTCTAATAACCTGGTGTGTAAGACAATTGCATACTTCCAAGGTTCACTGTAGGCTGGACCCCTTTCAGCCTCTATAAGCTGTGCTTCAAATTTTCTCTTGTATGGCAAGAGAAAATTTTTTTCCTTGAAGAAATCCATGTACACTAACTTATTTCTGCCTCTTAAACTTGCTCCTGATTTTTATTCACTATCCATTTGAATCTGGTCTCCTATAAAGAATAACACCCGTCTGCCTTTCCCTAGCACCTAACACATTTTATTTTTCCTCTCATTTCTGAAGAGTGACATTGTGTACTATATTTTGAGTGCTAATGTTGATTGAAGTTGTCCCTGAAAGAATGTGCACTTGACATGTCAAGGAGTGAGTGATTGACAGCAGATATAAGTACTTTTTGTGTCAAGGTTTTGTCAATTCATTGTTGTAAACCAAGCCTACTGAATACCAATAATACTCTAGATTTTCAAAAGGCAGATTTCTGCTTCTCTAGTGTGCAGATGCTGATATGCTTTAAAGAAAAATGAAAATACAGTTTATTTTGACAGAGTATATTATTTTCTTCTTTGAATCTCTTAAGAAAATTTATAATTTTAGCAAATATGATGAAATCAGTACAGTATTTGTTTTGCCTGACAATCTAAATATCTTGGATTGTATATCCCCTTTGGTTTTCCTCCTTTCCTCCCTCCCTCCCCTTGTATGTGTGTGGGTTTTTTGTTTTGTTTTTTTTTTTTACCATTTTCTGTTGAATCAGAGTTAATGATAGACCATCTATAACACAGTTTATTGTATATGACTCAGCTTCTCAGTTGAGATGTTTAACCATATATCCCCTGGACTCAAAAGACCATTGCTTCTCTGCTAAATAAAATGAGCTCCTTGGGGCTGGGAAGGTGGCTCAGTGGTAGAGCGCTTGCCTTACATGCATGAGGCCCTGGGTTCGATTCCTCAGCACCACATAAGCAAAAAGAATCAGCACCACATAAGCAAAAAGAAAAAAGCTGGAAGTGGTGCTGTGGCTCAAGTGGTAGAGCGCTAGCCTTGAGCTGAAGAGCTAAGGGACAGCGCCCAGGCCCAGAGTTCAGGCCCCATGACCAGACCCAAAAAATAAAATAAAATAAAATGAGCTCCTTCTATGACAAAGTTTTTTATTGTTGATGTTATTTTTTTAAATATTTTTGTTTTATTTACTCCTGTTAAAAAATTTTCATTAATATATTTCTAAAATATATGGTAATTTTTTATTGACACAGTAATATGTATTTTAGGATACATCAGGACATATCAATACATGTATACAGTTTATAACGTGTTATTAATATTTTTGTTTTCTTTTTATGTCTTACTGTTCAGAAAGTGTACTTTATTATAATGTTAGTTATTCCAAACTCTGGAAGAAATCATTTGGCACAAACTTTATTCTTTTCTTTTAGATAAACATGTAATAGAATTAATCATTCTATGTTAGCAACTCTTTCAGTACATTCTACTGTGAGAACTTAAAATGGGCTAGCCTCCTCCACTCAGCACTATTATATAAACCACTCAGTCACTTCTCCTTTGGGTAGGTTTTCTTGTCCCCATAGCCCAGACTCATCTAAAACTCTCTGTAATATGAGGTACTTTTAAAAACTTTTAGTAAGTTTGACGTAATTGTGGTTTGTTTACTTCCTCTAATTATGAAGTCAATTTAAATTTTAAATTCATAATCCATGTGCATACAAAGCCAGTAATTGTGACTAAAACACATACATCTTCTACAACATTTTTCACATGAAGATTTTGTTTTTTGTTTTTTTTTTTTGGTCAGCCCTGGGGCTTGAACTCTGGGCCTGGGTATTGTCCCTGAGCTTTTCAGCTCAAGGCAAGCACTCTACCACTTGAACCACAGCACCATTTCTGGTTTTCTGATGGTTAATTGGAGATAAGAGTCTCATGGACTTTCCTACCTGGGTTGGCTTTGAAGCTGGGTCCTCAAATCTCAGCCTCCTGAGTAGTTAGGATTACAGGTGTGAGCCACTGGTACCCGGCTTATATGAAGATTTTGAAAGCTTTATTTAAAAAAATAATTGATGCTGAGAAGCAAACCCTGAGAAAGTACTGCAACAGAGAGCCATTTCCCCAGTCTGTGAAAGTTTTAATGGCAACCCCTGACTAAATTTTGTGCATAGAAGTAGTACCTGTAACTTGTTTCCCTAGGGTCTTTAAAACATTTTTTCCCTTTTGTATTTTATTTAACTAATTATTCTTAACTCGGGCTACTAAAGAAAAAAATTTCAATTGGATTTATGTATTAATTTTTTTTCATTTCATTTTCTTGATCTGCACTTTGAGTATTGCTTTGCACCCACCAGATTGGCTCGTGAGGATCATTTAATGTGTATTGTTCTTTCCTAGAACAGTAAACTTAACATAGAGTTATGTGATTTTTTTGTATTTTTTGTTTTGTTTTGTTTTCTAATACTAGAGTTTGAACCCAAGGCCTTGTACTTACCTGGCAAGTGTTTTACCACTTGAGTCACATCCCTAACCCTTTTGCTTTAGTTATTTTTCAGATAGGGTCTTATGCTTTTTGCCTCAGATGGCCTGAGACTACAATCCTTCTATTCCTCCTTAGTAGCTGAGATTACTTCTATGAACCACCATGCCAAACTTATTCTTTGGGGCAATGTCTTCCTAATGTTTTTAGCCCAGGTTGTCCTTGAATCATTATGCTCCTATCCCCAGCTCCTAAGTAGCTAGGATTATAGACACAAATCACTATACCTGGCTAAAAAGTATTTTTAAGGATCTTTTATAGCCAGATGCTAGTGGCTCATGCCTGTAATCCTAGCTACTCAGGAGGCTGAGATCTGAGGGTTGCAGTTCAAAGCCAGTCTAGGCAGGAAAGTCTGTGAGATTCTTATCTCCAATTCGTCACCAGAAAACCAGAAGTGGTGCGTGGCTCAAGTAGTAGAGCGCTAGCCTTGAGCTGAGTTCAATCCCTAGTAACAGCCTTGAGCTGAAGAGCTCAGGGACAGCACCCAGGCCCAGATTTCAAGCCCCACGACTGGCAAGACAAAAAAACAAACAAACAAAAAACACTTTTTCTTTTGAGATTATATTATACTTTCAGGAAAGTTTTAAATAATACAAATAATTCCTCCAGATGTTTCACTAATGTTCCCCAGTTCCCTTTAAGAGTTTGGCTTTCCCAAATCTGCATACATTTTGCACATATTATACAGTTATTTCTTTCATTTGGCACATCTTCAGAACATTGAAGAAAACAAGGAAGGAACATTTGACTTTTATATTTGATGTCTCCATAGAGTGTGATGGGATAGGTTGTGTACAATAAATGCTTGACAGTTTTAAAGAAAAAATATGGTCAATAATGTTTAACAGTGCAAAGTTTTCTATAAAACCATAATTATACTGTTTTCTTTTTCTTTCATAAATTTAGGTCGTTAAAGGACTTACGTATTTGTGGAGTTTAAAGATTTTGCACAGAGGTATGTGCTGGGTTCCAGCTATGACATAATTTGGGGTGAGGATATAGCTCTGACCAGTCCGAATAAACGATCTGACTTTGCAACCAACGGATGCAATTAATAGTCAGCAAACTATCAAGTTTCTTGTATTTTTCTCCTTTCCTTCTTTCTTGCTCTCATCTGATTATAAAGGTTGTTAATTTATAAAGATATTTCATAGTATTTGCAAATGACTGGGTCTGTTGTCTTAAGTGTAGGGAGTACAGAACTTTCACTTTTTACCTAGTTACATCCCTCCTTGGAATTACTGTTTCAGATGCTGTACACTCTTTTAAGGAAGAGATGCTTCACATGCCTGAAAAAATGGAACTTTAAATTAAGAACTGACGAGAGTCAGTAACCATGTCCTGCTCTAGAAATAGAACCTCCTTCTTTTTCTTTCTTTAAAATTTGGTGCCAGTCCTGGGGCTTGAACTCATGCTGCCTTCGAGCTTTTTTGCTCAGGTTAGTCCTGCTGCCTCCGAGCTTTTTTGCTCAGATTAGTCCTGTACCACATGAGCCACAGCTCCATTTCTGGCTTTTTGGTGGTTAATTGGAGATAAGCCAACCTGGGCTAGCTTCCAACTGAGATCCTCAGATTTCAGCCTCCTGAGTAGTTAGGAATACAGGCATGAGCCACCAATGCCCAGCCTCTTTTGTTGTTGGATTTTGTGGGGGTGGTTTGTTTGTTTGTTGTTGTTGTTGTTTCAATGTTCCCAAAATATCTGAATTCATTTTGAGCAAATTATTGAGTGAGAAAGAGACTGTAACAAAGCAACTTCAAGGCCTAATGCTACAGCAATACTGTTTAATTTTACACATCTGTTTCATCTAGCTTCATGTACATTTGGGGAATGTAGCAGCATAAAATTAAATGTGATTAAAGGAAATTTGTGTTTTTTAAGAAGTATGAACTATGAGGAGGAGGAAAAACTAATGTATTCAACTGTAGTAGCACATGTGTCACTAAGGATTGTCTTCTTTTATGGATGTTTTAATAGCCTGTGGTTCCAAATTTCTTTCTCTTTTAAGGAGGATATCTAAATTTTGACAAGTAGAATATTAATTTAGTTCTTAAACATATGCTGCTTAAATGGAATCATAAGCCAATTATTTTTAAAGCTACTTTTTAAAATGTAATTGAGGCAAATTGTGGATGTGGACAGAGTAAGATGAGCTGTTGGTGTTCTTTCCCTAGGTAAAAAATGTGTGTAAGCACATGGAACATTTTTCATGCTTAAGAGAGAATGCTATTTAACATGGCATGTCTTATATTCCTTCTTCCCCTTCCTTGTTTTTCCACCCCTCACACCAACATCCCGTAAAGTGCTTCTATAGGAATTCTCCCAGTGGTCAGTTACTGTCATTTTATTGCTCTTTAAGGACATCTGCTATCCATCTGACAAAGAAAATAAGTGAAGGCTTCACTGTCCAATATAGCATATTCCTCTTTAAAAGAACCATGTTGTGGAAATAGGCATGTTGTTGTGAATCTAGAATTGCCCCATTCTGACATACTTGCTTTTATAATGGTCATAACTATAATTTATAATTCTTGCTCTTATAATTGTCATAGCTATAATGTTCCATGAGGGAACTTATTAGTGCTGAGAACTCTAGTAGATAGAAAGATGTGTTTCTTGCACTTGAGCCACAGCCCAGCCCTTTTGTGCTTCAGTTATTTTTCACAGTCTCATATTTTTCTCTGGGCCGGACTTGGATGGCTCTCTTCCTACATATCCTTCCCTCATAGATGATTATAGATTTCTACCATGCCTGACTTATTTGTTGATATGAGAGGTCTTGCTAACTTTAACTGGGCTAGCTTGAAACCTCAATCCTCCCCATCTCCACTTCCTAAGTGGGCCAACCCCATAGGGTGACATGATGCCCAGCTCAATAAAGGGTTCTTCACCTGTGGCAGATGAGGACTGCAGTGATATGAGTAATTGAAGGCATGGAGGTTTCAAAAGGGAATCATGAGCCTGTACTTCACTCTACAGGCTTTGCTGGCCCTCTCAGTTCCCACAGCAGCATGCTATAAAACACTAATGGTGGAAAGGTATCTGAGAGGGGCTGAGTGAGGTCGATGTGGGTATGGATGGAGTACACAAAAATTCTCTCAAGGGATTTTAGGTTTTAGTAAGTGCCAAAGAGGAAATGCGAATCTCCCTCTGCCTGGCTGGGAAGTCAACTGAATCTTGGTGCAGATGAGCACTTACTCTCTAGTACTCAGCTACTCGAGGTACTTGACTACTCAGCCGTAGAAATAAGTATACTTTGATAATACATTTACATATTTAGTTCTCAACTTTCTTAGCTATTCACAGAAACTTTTACCTTCTGGATTTAAAAGCATGTGTTTTTTAATTGAAGAGTGGAGGAAGCCAGCTGTCTCTGAAAACTTTTGGAAAGCATTGATGATAAATTTACCCTAGGCTGAGTAGTTAACTTACTATTTTGAGGTTTTGTTCATATTTAATAACTTAGATTCCATAAAAATAAGATTAAAGATGCCTTTTTATTTACCAAAAAGCTATTTAATTTTCTCCTTGATTAAAAAATTGTAGCTTTTTAGATGAGTTCAATCAGGCAATTAAAGATCAGAGCTTTTAAGTTTGACTGAAGCAATTAAATAGGTAATATACTTGTTTATACACTTTTACTATATAAACTCATGGCTCTACATTCTTAAAAGCACATATACTCATTTTTGCTTCCTCTGATTGATGATGGGAATTCTGGCTGAATATGTGTCACACTGTCAAATCAAAGACAGGGGGTCCTTTTATGAGGATCTGGTGCAGGCTCTGTGAGAAGACAGATGGTGAAAGGAAATACTAATGAGTAGTCTACATTTCTTCCTTCTTTGTCTTGGTCTAACTACCTGTATTCTCCTCTGGCCATTTTCTAATGCTATCCTTGGAAAGTGGGGTAGATACATATCAAAAACATATTGCTTTATTTTTATGATCATCAGTTTTTAAAATGGAGTTATTTTCAGTTACCTAGTAATATATGGAAAGAAAAAAAATTTTCCATATCTAACTTGCTTCCTAGATTTTTAGCTATAGGAAATATGTAAGTGTACATCATAGAATTTATAAAACATAGTCACTTACAAATAAATCTGAGAATCGGGAGTCTTTCCCCTAGTGTTTCCCCAGTGAGGATTGTTGACTCATTGTATGAGTCTTGAGAGTCTGGTCCAAGTTAGTCTATTTGGCAGTATATTATGTCAACTAGGAATTGAAATACAAAAGTCCCTGTTCCAATGGATAGTCAAATATTACCAGATGTTTCTACTAGTGTGTTTTACTCTTTTGATATTTGAGATTATATATGTGAGAGTTCTTGAACACTATCAGATGCTAATAATGTAGGTATGGGTTATTATAACTATGAACTAATCACCTCATCCTTGCTGAACCCTGTAATCCTAGCCACTCAGCCAAGGAAGTAGTTTATTATATTGTATATTACTCGGTTAGATATTCTGTAAATCTTTTACGTTAAAGCAAAGGTGATGTGACCATATGAGGACATCAGTGTTCTCACTAAGATTAACTGCTGTGAAAACACAGCAGTGGAAGACACATGTGCAGCCCTATGAGCTACATAGCAGGTGCTGATTATGAGTAAAAACAAAGAAAATGAACAGTGAGAAAGTCTGTTGAGCCAGATCCAACATTACAGCAAAACATTGCAAACATTGCAGCTTAACTTCAAAACATACATCGCCACTAATGAGGTGAGAGCCCTGCATATTAATAAACCTACAGCTCCAGGCATAGCTATCATTACCCACATCAAACATAAATACAAGATTAACACCTATGCCATTTCTGTGGAAGATGTGAGAATGCCCTGGCAGTAACTGCTCTCGCTCTTCCTGAGGATAGAAACCAGAAATAAAGGAATGAGAATAGAATTTAAGTGTAGAAAAATAAAATTAGCAATTAGTCTGTGGAGGCTTACTTAGATGCAGAAGTTTACAGGAGGAAACCTTGACTACTGTGTGTGTGTGTGTGTGTGTGTGTGTGTGTGTGTGTGTGTGTATGTGTGTGTGTGTGTGTGTGTGTGTGTGTGTGTGTGTGTGTGTGCCTGCCTTTGTGTTTATATGAGGCTGCTTAGTATTACTTATTTTATCTCAAAATAAAGCTTTATAAAGCACCTTTGTAAAGAGGCAAGTCTCTCTAAGTAGATCTGTGTTTAGACAAAGTCTTGTGGTTTCCACAAATGAACACATTTTACTTTTTACCCCTGATTTATATAAATCTGACTTTACACAGACCTCTACCCTCAGTGTACCTTAGATGCCAAAAATTATGCAACTATTTTCTATCTACTATGTTCCTGGCACTGTTTTAAGTACTTAAATATATATCAGTATGTAAAACAAGATTTCTGCACTCATAAAACGTACATTCTAGCAGGGATGGAATGAAATGGAAAACAATAACTACAATAAGTAAACAAGTATATTAGAAAATGCTTAGCTATACGAAAAATGGGGAAGTAGATCATGCAAGGGCTGCAAAGCATAGGTTGCAAAATTAATCAAGTAGCCCTCATACAGAAGATGATTTTGGAGTGCAGACTCAAAGAAAGAGTGGCAAGTTGATATGCATGGGAACAGTTAGCATACAAGCCAAGAGTGGGCCTGTACCTAGAGTATTTATGGGCCAGCAAAGGGGTCAGCTTATCTGCAGCCAAGTGTATGGAATGTAGTTTACCCAGCTGTTACTAAGCTGTTTCAGTAATCAGGTGATTTTAGTGACCTAGATGAGGGAAATGATTGCAAAGATGGGGAGAAGTGACCAGATTCTGAATATATTTTAAGTGTAGGCTCGATTGAATTTCCTGGTGGATTGCTTATAGATTTTTTTAGACAGAGAGAGGAATGGGAAGTTGAGGTTACTTGAATTTTAAGCAATTTATTGTGTGGAAAACGCTTACTCTTGTTAGAAATGTCTCAGGAT